AGCCATCGTTCCTAAAGAACATCAATCGAAGTACACACCTCAATCACACAAACATTCCCCTCTTTGCAGAAAGTAATGGCGTCATCTGGCAGCAATCGCCTAGCCCAAAAGTCGATGCAGCATGGCATGCGCTGACCACGGGATATCCATTCCTGATAACAGAGGACGACATGCGCATCCTCGGGAAAGATCCAGATCGCTATATTAGCGTCCCCAAAGACTTCGGCTATGGCGAAAAAACGTTCATCACCCGATTCGCACATACGCATAACATCCACTGCCTAGACCACATCCGAAAACGGCTCTATCGTGAGCATTATGGTTATCCAAACGATACGATGGATTGGATCCACACGAAGCACTGTCTCCACGCTTTGCTAGATCATCTGACGTGCCACGTCGAGTACGATGTCATGAATTACATTTGGGTCGAAGGGGAGCCTACGGCGGATCCTGAGCTCACTTATAACCGTCAGTGCCGAGATCTGGACGCCATGATACGCTTTAGTGAGGATAATCGTGTTGATAAAGACCTGCGAGTATTTTATATTCAGCCAGCGGAAGGAGACCATATCTTCCCACCAAATTCAGAGTTCCGCATGTTAGAGAAGGAGTTCGATGAGAGCCATCCCAACCGTCCGTCAATGGAGGAGCGACGGAAGACTTGCCGTAAAGCCTACGATGATGCGATAAGTTACTGGCAGGAAACGGGAGAAGTGCCTATCGAGGAGAGGCAATGGTAGATATCTACGAAAACATTCAACAATACCTGATATGGGGAAGTGCTTTTTCTCGCGAAGGCTTTACCTGGTAGAGGGGTAACAGCCTGGATGCATCCAGAGGTTGACAGGAGATTTTTCTAAAACATGTAAATCAATACCAAAGGTCTAAACAGCCCATGACATGAGACAAAGATCACTACCGGATATGCCTGAATGGTTTGCGAAGAAAAGACATTGACTAGACAACGTTGTCACACACACGGTATGTACAACATTGAGACCTCGAAGCATCAGCAAGCGCCGTCTCCAAATTCCTCAAGTTCCTTACTGCTCGGAGACTATGAAGTTTTCTGGGTCTAGACCAAGTGGCGAGTCAGCAGGCTAGTCTTCAACGGAGTCGTCATTTCCTACCAGACGCTCCAACAAAGCGATTCTCTCACTATCGCCGTGTAGGCCCTGACCTTCTAGAAGTTGCCTAAGTTCCTCGTCTGTCTTCGAATCCGAGGCGTTAAGCTAAGCTTCCTGAAGTTCTTGCTCATCATCAAGGATCTCGTCGTTCACGATACCCTATCTATCATCTCGCCGTCTAGGACATCATCAATCAAGATTCTGTTACAAGTAGAGGTAAACTTCGATTAGACGCTGAACATCTCAATCGTGGCAGACATTGGTAAAGAAGTTGACGATCTGGATGAGCATCTGGAGGTCGGCATTTGCGGTACGCGCGCGCTAAGAGTACCTAGGTACGGTTTGCTCGAGAAAGAGAATATTGAATAGATTGCTCAGATGAGGCCATGATGGTTAGAGGACAAGAGTCCGACTTCATTGGTAGGACCTAGGCTGACAAGGGGAGGCGCGCGCAAATGCGCGCTTGTGCAATATTGACCTGCCTAAGTAAGCTGGCAGTTTTGCAGACTGCAGCACGCCCTTGTCGTGAAGGAGGGTTATCCTAGATAATCGCGATCGTTCCTGTCACGTAGCTTGAGTCACGTCGCGTTCGAAAACGTATTAGCGTTCACGCGTGAGCTGTACGTCAGACCTCTCTTCCCAAGACAGAAGCAATATTGGCGCACCCGCCCAGCTTCTATAAATGAGGGAATGTACGTAAGAACAAAGATGCCGGGGCCGAGCTGCCGATTGTTTATTATGTCTGGGAGAAGGGTGACGCGTTTTGGCGTTCGCCGGATGAATGTGTCGCCAGAAGCGGATGAATGGGTTGGGGGCCAGATGCCGTGCTGCAGGGTAAGGCGGCCAGTGCAATTTCCTGGGTCAGGGTCTCAGGGGCACCCAACGCCTGTTCACGAACGATCATCATCAGGGTAATGGAAAAGCAAGAAACATGGGCTTGACGACATGGCATGGATGGTTTCTGTATGCAGTGATTGCGAGAGCTGCACGTTGGAAAGTAGGGAACTCAATTGTAGAAAGTGTCGATTTAACTCCATTCATGCCAAAGTATGTACAAACAAGGGTATCGGACGTTGAATAGTCAGATCGTGAAGTAGAGGTGGAAATCATGTCATTAAGTAGCCGACTCTTCTCAAGAAAGGGCAAAGAATCTAGGAACAAGAAGACCACCGGGACCACACGACTCCCTCCATAGGGCCAGTAAGCATTCCAACCAAGGCGTATTACAATACCAAGTATATTAACCATCGAAATGCTGCTGCGACTGTTATTGCGCAAGGAAGCAAGAGTCCGTACCGCCAACACCGCGCTCCCAATCCTAGACTGAATCGTGATGCAGAGTTGAAGTCGTAACCCGTGAAGCCATGTTCTATTTCCTCCTCTTTCCAAAACTCGAGAAGAGACTAGCAGAGACATGGAGAACCATATCCCGACAAATCACTCAAGAGCGAACCGCTTACAAGAAAGCAGCGACGGCACCAGCGATGGCGAAGAAGCCAACGGTGGCCTTGCCAGCGGCACCAGTGAACTCAGGGGTGGCAGGCTTGGTGGAGGTGGGCATGGCACCAGTGCCAGTGGGGTAGGGAGCGCCAGTTCCGGCAGGGACGTGGGGAACGGTGCCGTTGGAGCTGGGGTACATGGGAGCGGGAGGAGCAGCCGAGTATCCAGGGGCAGTGTGGGAAGCCTCAGGGACGGAAGGCTTCTCAGAGGAGACAGTGGGCATGGGGACAGCCGGAATCTCGGGGGTAGGGGTGTGGACGTAGGTAGCAGTGTACTCAGGGATGCTGAGGGTGGTGCTGCTGGAGATGGTGTAGGTGGAGGCACCGTAGGTGATGGTGGTGGGCTCAGGGCAGACGTAGCTGGTGGCGTGGACAACCTCGGTGGTGGTGTAAGCGGGCTTGGAGGCGCTGTAGACGGGGGCAGCGGAGCTGGCCTCGTAGGCAGGCTTGGAGGCCTCGTAGGCGGGCTTGGAAGCCTCGTATCCAGCGGAGGTCTCAGCGGGGTAGGCTGGGTACTCAGCAGCGGAGGAGGCAGCCTCGTAGGCAGGGGCCGAAGAGGTCTCGGCGGGGTAGGCCGGGTACTCAGCGGCAGCCGAGGAAGAGGCAGGGGCAGCAGGGTAAGCCTCGTACTGGGGAGCAGCAAGGGCAACGGCGGCGAAGCCAGCAATGACGGCGAAGGAACGCATCTTGATTGTTGGTTTGGGGGGTGGTATTAAAATACGGAAGGTATTAAGTTATAAGGCGTTGGAGGTCGTTGAAAACGAGTGTGATCGGTGATAACCGTGTATTAGTGAGTGTAATGAGTGTGTGGTAGAGAATCAACTGAGGAGCAGCTGGAGAAGACATTATATAGAACTATACACGAGCTGGCCTTACCAAGAAAGCCAGCATCTATGAACAGGGGCGCTTTGGCATAGTTTCGCTCGTTTGGCAGAATCGCGAAAGCTCTGGCGTGCCGGTGGCGCCGTTTGGTGGACTGTGCCTGGCGATAGTACGGGATAGGGGAACCTGTGGAAAGGTTCGACATGGGCCGTTGTGAGCTGTTTATTGATGGATGTCGAACGGACCAATGAAATGGTAGACGACGCGCAGAAACGAAATGAGCTTGACAATTTCCCCTGCCAAGGGGGCCTTGCCGCCTCAACACATCGCCCGTCGTCCTAACCGCTTTCGCTTCAAGTGTTCGACTTGTGCACGCAGAACATGTTCAATCGCCCGGTAGATACCTATCTCCGGTCTGTGATCCGCACCTGCATATCAGCTCGGAACATAGGAAAGGTCGCGCGACCACGTCAAAGTGTAGTTTGCATTGGGATAGGTGTAGAGCCACTGACTGTGACCGTCACAATGAACACCTGAACAAAGCGATGATTAGGGGCTCCTTGCTAGTCAGCATCGAAATATCGATCACAGTGGAGATGGCTAATCGTGACAACATCTGGAGCAATCCCCGCGCCCGAGCAAAAATAGCTTCCAGTGCTGATAGGAGAAGGGCCAAATTGGAGCGGTCTGCTGGTGTCGAGGTCGTTGGTCAACGATGGAGCGGGGACGTGCGGGTTCCTGCATTGTCCTTGCATCTAGACCTGGGACTAGATCTAGCGAAGGGCCGACAGCCCGTCCAGTGTCGCACGAATTGGCAGCCATCGAAGATGTCGCGGAAAGTTACTGCCGAAGTTTCTGTGATGTCTTGGAGGCTGATCAGTTTCCAGCTCTTTCTCAGCTCTTGTCACACCCGGGCTCGTCTTACGAGAGCCATCCAGCGTGTAGGTACGCACTCGTTGACGAAACGGTAACAGCGCAATCTCGCCTCCAGTATTCCCAAGGAGAGGCGCATGAACTAAGTGAGCGCCACAATAGTAGTCTCAGGTTACGCATTAGGCGCGGCACCTACTTGGGCATGAGTGTTTTACTGGAGAGCAAATGACGTGCCGCACAACACGAAGGAATCCCAATTTGTTCGCATTATCATATTCCACAAATGGCTGTTATTTCCGGGTAATCGCTAGAGGATAATTGAGTCGGTAAACGGTGAGGCGTAGTGTAAAATTAGGGAGGAAGCTACGGTGAGGGAAATGGGTGTTCTTGTCGCTTCTAGCCCGTCGTGCCGGAGTGACGCCGGCCACGCGAGAGCCCCTCGATAACGCAAGACCGACTTTGACTTCACCACCAACTCCAGGACTCCACGATTTGAGCACACCACCGCGCTATTCGATACCTGTACCGCAGGATTTTCCGGACCTGTATACCTTTCTTGCGGGGTGCCAAAGATCTGCTTACTTGTTAAGCTCACATCCTTAATCCCACTCTAGTTGCATCGACTGCATGGACTGTAGGAGCAAGCGGTGCATATTCAAGCATTTTCGACAGTAGAATGCCGAAACCATCAGGTGCAGTGCCAAAGGGATGGGATGGGCAAACCATCTACCTCCACGCACCTTCCTACTCGAAGAAGCTTGGTGGTGACAAGCTCAGCGCACTGATACTGCCAAAGTCCAATCTAGCGCCCGATACACAGGTTTATAAGCCTAAAGGACCATACTCAAATGTCAAGATCACATCAGTGACAGACTCTACACACCCTGCACATGGACAGCATGCGCTATATGCTAACCAGCATCTACCACCAGACTCGTTCATCCTGCCATACTTGGGCTATGTGCACGACCAGACTGACACTGACGAAGCATCCGACTACGACTTATCACTCGACCGCGAACTAAGCATCGGCGTAGATGCGTCAAAGATGGGCAACGAAGCGCGATTCATCAACGACTACCGGGGTGTCTGCCCCGCACCGAGCGCCGAATTCCGCGATATATTTGTGGACATCGGGAACGGGAAGGTGGAGAGGAGAGTCGGTGTCTTCGTGCTGAGTGCTGGCAAAAGTGGAAAGAGAGCGAAGGGTATCGGGCGTGGACAGGAGATCCTCGTCAGCTATGGCAAAGGATTCTGGTCAGATCGACAATCGACTGAAGAATGACATGCCTGTGCAGCTGCTTTCTCCAAATGTCGCAATACGTCCCATCACTTTGATGTTTCTTAGCCGAACACTGGTACACGTTTGCTTTTCGGAAAATTTCTTGTCGTACAACGGGAGTTCGAGCAACGACGTTAAATGATCAGCGCGTTTAGGCCTTTGATCATCTGAGACCAAACCATCCCGAACAATACCACCGTGTACGTATCATGCGAAGTCCATAGTTGGACCATGACGCTTACTTGAGGATCTGCGAATACCGGAATGGCAGAATGTACAGTTGCGGCACGTCCGGACGATGATAAGCCATGGTCTTATTTCCGCTTTCAATGATTAGGCTATACTGGACACGGGCATCGTAAGCCTTGGAGTACGCATGCCGACGTGGCACTTGAGCGCAACGCTCCCCTGTGGCGCGAAGGATCAAGGGTCTGTTCTAGAAGCCTTGTCGTGGTGCTTTCCGTGAACCTGATACGCTGGATGCGACGATCATATTTCGAACAGCCCTGTTATGCCCATGTCTTTAGTTTAAGGCTTGCACAGGGACGTCACACCAAGCCGAAACCCGGATACACGTGGGACTGAGCCACTAATGTGGCGTCAAACCTGATTTTTTGTCTTGTGCTAAGTCTGGCTTTTAGCCTCTAGCCACGCGGATCGAGAGACTACGAGCAATCAAACGCAGCGCCTATTTTTCTTTTGGGATTTCTCCAGGAGAGCCACATCTGTGACATTGTTGGGCACTGTGATTGCGCCCTGGGCTGCAGCATAGTCGACCAATGTTAGCACCATGCTGATGTGACGTCGGAGGACACCTCCGCGCCGCCCCAGGAAGTTTTCGCACCTATTGTTAGGAGTCATTTTTGTTTCAGCAGAACGTCATTTTGTGTCATGCATGGTATTTTCGCATCATGATGGGATTCTGATGGAGGGTTGAAAATTCGCATGCGAAAATATCCCGCCTCGGGTCTAGTGACCATTGCTACCCACAAGTGGAAGGCAGAGTTTGCAGGCCAGATTATTCACGAAAACGCAGGTACCCTGTGCTATCACATTGTTCAAGGCCAGTTGTGTACGATCTTGCTACTGGATCGCGATCCTGCACCATGGCCCTTATTTCAGGTTCTTACCAGTGACGTTATGTCGCTTAGTTTACCTTTCAGAGCGACATGAAGATCAGCAAGGGGGGCCAGCTCCGCCAATCACAACAGGACATTCGCGCAACCCCTGGCTATCCCGACAGGGTTTTGCGAAACGGCCCCGTTACCCAAAGGTGTCTGGACACACTGACCGCGGAAAGACGGATTCAGCCACGCTGTGTTTCGGAGCAGGTATGCTACTCGCACGTCATGGCCTATTCCGGGATGTGAATGCGTGGCCCCATCGCAAACTGGTTAAGTTGCCAGACATTCCCCAGACCGAGTGGGCATACTTTACTCGACCGCAACACTCTGGAATATTCTGTCACCGTCATCCGTCGTAACAACCGCATCTCAGCCATCACCGGTTTCTCACGATACCATCACCTTATCAATCAGCAATTCTCCACTTGGTTCCACCACCAAGAACTTTTACGTACCCACACTTCTGGGGCTCCGCCGATCTCTTAGCACCTACGCACCTTACGCACTTGGCATTGTCAACTGGTATTTCTATCAATACCCCGACAACCCCACATCAACAGGAATCAAATATCCCTTCCCGTCTAACGACACGAGCACCAAACAACACCACACCAGACTACACCATGGCACCCATGTCGAGACCCACATTATGTAGAGTGAGTTTCTCCGAAGTACATCCCCCCTAACATATACTAACATGCTCATGTAGAACGAGTCGATGCAAAAGTACATGCTTCTCTCAGCCCAGAAAGAAGCTCTCCAGCGCCGCATGGCTATGGAGATTCCTTTCAACGCACCTATGGCTGCCACTTCCCCGGAGTTTCAATCTCTTTCGTCATCGCCTACCTCACCAACAAAGTACTCAACGCCGTTCCCCGCAGCCAGTGAACCCGTTACCGTCAGCTCAAGGACCGGCGGAACCCCGCGCAACAGCATCGACGACATGCACACTGAAGAATCCCACAAGCTCGCGGAGATCAACCAACAAATCGTCGCTACACTCACCGAACTCATGAATACAGAATGTATCCGCAACGACGAGAAGCAGCGTGCCTGGGTCCAAGGCCGCCTCATGGAAGCCGAACACCAAATACGTCGTGAACGTCGCCGTCACTCGTCAAACGCTGGCGGCGACTTTGCAGACGCCATCGCACAGCATCTCGAGCTTGGTCTCAACACTTCCAAGACTTGGGCGTAAACTCCCGCCTTGACGCACGTCTGTATGAAGCGATGACGTGAGGCTTACGATGATTACGATCGTTCTCAAATCTTGTACTTGCGATGGGCGCTTGCTTTTTGGCTGGCAATGGCGCAATGGTTCTGAAATGAAGTGCTCAAATCAGACACAGATACCCCCTTCGGTGCATAGCATCAGTTCGATGGAACTGCTAGGTTCCCGAATCACACTCTGTATAGTTAGTTTACGAATTCACGATCACTATATTTGTCATCATCACTGTTCTTCATGCTGTCATGCTGTCCCGTGCTTTTGCGCCATAATTATTGCGGTTCCCGCAATGCTTCTTGTGTAGTTTGTTTTAGGTCACCCCAAAATAACCCTTTGCAAGCGTACCGGAGAATTCGCCGGTACAAGATGTCCTATCCAATTGGAAGTGTTCGCGGCGGACTGGTGCGCGGTCCCTGCATCTCCTCGTGCAGCGTGCTTTTTTGTGAGTTCTCTCCACACGGAACGCTGACGCGTGATCGTTATGCTCGACAGTTAGGATGATATCAAACTGCATTTTCCAGCGGGGTCGCCCCTTGCTTCTGTTATCTCAACCACTACAGCTGATGCATAGACATCGATAACGCGGATGTCATCCACCAAGCATGCTCCTTCTCGTTTCTTCTAATGGGTGCCTCTGACGTCACACCACGCTTCCCCTCAATAAGCAGCACCACACGCGACACACCCTCCAAAACGCATCCTAACGCCCAGCAACCTGCCGTATTCTGGTTCGAAGCCGTTCATACTCCTCAACAGAAATTCAAGCAGCGAACATGAGCGGTTCGATCTCGCTCTAGGGCTAGAGAGTCTGCATTATCGGTCCGTATACATGCAGTACGGGATCGACAGCGCAGCAGCAGGCTTGCGCAAGATTACCTGGCCTCTACCCCTCATTTAGGAAGGGAGATGTATGGTGTGGTTCGGATGCGGGGCTGCTGGCTTTAGTTGGCCGTTTTGAGGGGGCTGGGAGAAGAGGCTTGGGGTTGGCAGGGTCTAGGCGTGGTGGTGTGGTGGTGTGATGTGGTGTGCTGCGATATGGCGTGGAAGAACGTTCTCGAGCTGGATGCACACTCGGAGAATCTCGATGGATTGCGCGAGTTGAGACTGTGCTGGGGTGATATTGTGTTATCATTGATACGTAAGTTTCACATGCTCGTAAGCAAATGGTAGATACTCGATCTGCGGTGCATGATACTATGTTAGACAACTCCTTCCTGGACAGGAAAAGTATGCGCCCGCTGGAGGTGAGGCTACCTAGGTAAGCATTCATTCCATTATTCAGTTTCTTAAGGAACTCTGTTCTTCAACGATCACATTTTAGGGAAGATGTATCCACTATTCTAGGCGTAAAACTATGATAACCTGACATGTGCAGTCTATATCGCAGAGCGATGAAGCTAAGTCAATCGGGGGAATGATGCGCCGGCGCCCGCAAGGCGTCCTCGCTTGACAAGCAGCAATAGAGGGGCAACATGCGATACCTCACTCCTCTACCAGACGCCTGCGGATTTTCGGCAAACAAGCATCATACCTACGTATATGGGTCACTTTTCAATTCCGTATCTAGGGCCTCGATTCATTGTGACACATGAAAGGTACAGGTCACTATAATCATGGACAAGAGTGACGAAACCGTAGCAGCGCAAGTTCCACAGTCACCGCATTCAACTACGCTGTACTGCGAAGAATGCTTACGGGTGGATCATTCTTTCGATGATATTCTCCATTCTGCGATCGAAGATGAATGGAGAGAGTTGAGGTTATCACTGAGAGTTGATCCAGGCAATATCAGGGAAGAGACGACATGCTCATCATGCAGAGATATTCTCAACCTACTTGGCAAAGAGGCATCGAAGGCCGAGTACGTTCATCTTCTCCTCTCAATGGGGAGCCTATTTACGGGTGTCCGCCTTGGGACTTCGCCTGAAACAGATCACCAACCTTATAGAGACTACGTTTACTTATTTCGGCGCTCGGAATACCCGAAGCGGCTTCGAACCGAAGTGACCAACTCCAAATCGGCCAATAACCTTCCTATGGGACATATAAGACGGTGGTTACAGACTTGCGAGCTGGAACATGAACATTGTCGACCCGATCCAGCGAACAAGCTGAATATCTCACTTTATCTTATTGACGTGGTCGAGGAATGCATTACTATCATGCCTGTCTCGGACGTGCCCTATGTAGCTCTGAGCTACGTCTGGGGCAATGCCAAGTCCACCAAGTTGACCTCCGGAAATATGGAGCAGTTGAAAAAGCTCCGAAGCCTGTCTCTCGGATCACACGCCGTCATCGTCCCTCAAACCATTAGAGATGCTATGCATCTGACTAAAGACTTGGAACTTCGTTACCTGTGGGTAGATTGCTTCTGCATTATACAGGATGATCCTAGTCTTGGTCTTTATTTGGACCAGATGCACTGTATCTATCACAATGCATTTGTGACTATCGTGGTAGCAAACAAGGACAACGCAGACGGTGGTCTTACTGGTTACGAAACCTCTTCAGCCGGTCGACTACTACCGGGTGACCTGATCGCTTATCCGAACTACGTGCTGGGAATTGAGAGTCCGCGTACCACCAAAGCTCAGCTGCCATGGGATTCGCGAGGGTGGACTCTACAAGAAGGATTTTTCTCCCGAAGAGCG